TTTCATAAACTATGGCCGATTACTTGTCTACGCATTACTCCATTTTTTCTCATCATCTTTAGTGTCGTTGCTGTTGTTCCTTGTTGATATTGTTCGTCAACTAGTCTGCTGTGTGATCTAGGGTTGGTATGTATATAAATGAATGTCTAAAGTAAACTGACAATCTTAAGCTGATGGTCAGTGGTTTTCGATGTGTCTCTTCAGTTACGGCAAGTTAGTATTGGGCCAAATTTCCAGCATAGAATAACAGTTCTCTTTGTATTGATTACTCAAAGGTTGTCTTTCTGTGTATTGATCGATGTGGGGACAGAACAGGAAGAAACAACATTGCTTACCATCAATATCCTAACTATGTAATACGTTAGTTTGAAATGAATAACTAAATACTTTTCTTCTACTGTCAATTGTTGTTACACAAATGATCTTTTCATGTCAGGAAATGTTTTGTAATAATGTTGAAAACAATATTTATTGTTTTACCTTTTTTCTTGCTAGCAGTGTATATAGTTCTATGTGGTATCTCTCCTCAGTATATCAATTCCAATTGAATGAATTCCGTATTGGATTTGAAACTGTTAATCAAGCCACTTTTTTCTTACACTTCAGCTCAAATAAAATGAGAAATCAATTCACAACTGATATTTGACTACAAATAATTGATTGTAATGAACCTGTCATCATTGACTAACCAGAGTTAACTAGACGTAAATATTACTGCGGTCATGAAACATAGATCTCTTCCAGCTTACCCTTGAGTTCTCTTACGTTGTTTTAGAGACACTTGGTGGTTTGTCTCAACACCTGATGTACCTCTGCAGTAACAGCCGTTGTCAGATCTTCAAATAAGTTGTTCAAACCGAGTTGTCCAGCTCTTTGGGAACCAGTTTCTTCAGTATTTTCGCTTGTGTAGTGCTTTCAACCAGTGAGACCACGACCTTCGCGTCTTTGTCGTGGGTTGTTGGTCGAAGTAGGCTATCATTATTATGAGGCTTATTTTGGCCTCCCATCATACACGTCTGTAACTGTAACTGCTAATTACATTCATGTTACTCTGTTACCCAGAATAGTGATTCCAGCCCACTTAACACTCAGAGTGTCTTGAAATCACACAAGCAATCAATGTCACAACAGTATTATCAAATTTGGAGGCAAGTCACTTTAATCACTCTGTGATATCAAACCATAAATGCAGAATTTAGCTCTGAGATACCTATACAGAAATCAAATTTACTTAATATGTTAACACTAACTGGATAATTGTCATGAACTGGTACAATTGAAAATAACAGTAATCAAGCATTCACTGGTATGCTCCACATATTGAGATAACATTATTACGTAACAAGATATCAAACATAACCTTAGACAGAATCACTTGTAATATTATACTGAATGAACAGAAACATTTCACAATTAGAAGTGAAAAATCAAGCTTGATGATGAATTTCTGGAAAAAATTCCATCATCACACTGTTAAACATTTGCTGTAAATTTGCAACTTTTCCAGTTTATAATAAGACATCAAGAAGGAATTCATTAGTCTAACATGCAGTTTTGGTCCGCAGGAATCTCAGTACCTTGGTAGAACTCAAACACAATAACTTTATAATAAACAGAAGATATATGCTGCACTTGACTTAGTGTAGTGTAAGATAACAGTTGGGAATGAAAGAAGAATTTCACATTTTCAGCCTACATCATTTAAAATAACTTGTTTAGTTTGTTACACATGTGTTAGGATAGGTATGTGGTGTGAGCTACTTATAAGTAGTATATGACGTGAGTGTCAACGTAAAGTCTGGTAGCATAATATGGGGGGAAGATCAAGAAAGGAAGAGTTAGAAAACAATGGAATTTGTATGAAACGCATGAATAGTGACAATCGATTGATGTTTGGCAACAGGAACAGTCCAGTTCGATAGGATGAACTGATCTTTTGCAAATGAACAATTTACGATATGGTTTTCCGATTTTACTGAGTAACTCTGTAATTTTCGTTAAACACAATTCGGTTGCCCCACCTGTGTTCTCGTTCACTACAGGTAGACCTTCTGGTTTATAACTAACCATCAGTGTCTATAGACTCAACATGATATATTAGGGTTATATATTATTGGCATGAGGTAAACTATAAATCTATTCTCTATCTTGACTGGTCACACTGAATCAATGCCCAGTTACTTTTAAATATCTGCTTTATGAGAAAAGGAACAGTCTTTTCAAAACCTCTAGTACAGCAGTTTACTAACTAACAGGAAACCTACATCAATGAAGTTCCTAATCATTTAACATTGATTTCTTTGAATCTCTAACTGGAATTGTAACAACTAGAGCCAAACAGTTACAGCTGTTTTACAAGTATTAATATTTGAGTTACACTGTTTGTGCAGTGTCATATAGCAAATGATACCAACTGGTTACTTAAACAGTAGTAAGTAAAGTGGGTCGACAACTGCATCACCTATAATCGATAGACTATAGTTGTACACTTTCGGGTATTGACTTCTCGTGTACGTAGAACTTCGTACGTACATAAATCAGTTCGAGTTCTCATGCCTTATGAGCACAAAGACGTAATTGTCAATTCAAATACCATAACAATAGAGGTAGTAAAAGTATTAGTATTAATCGAAGAGATTAGTGTTCCAGAACATTATTCAACAAGTAGAATCTATTGAAATAAACTTAAAAAGAAAAAAGATCAAGGTGATGAGGAATTCAGAAGGTTACGATTTGACACAATACAAACGAGTGGATGATTGTAATAACAGTTTTCAGCCATATCATTCAAGATAGATATTCTAAACATCTCCTGCAGATTGAAAGAAAGAACTACAAATATCTCATCATATCCCGTAACAAAGAAGAAATATTTAGAAAAAAAAGAGGCTTTATTTTAATTTTATCGTATCTATAAATAATAAGCCATAATACTAATAATGATAATAAATGTGTAAAACAGAATGATTACTAAAAGTAGTAGTAGTAATAATAATAATAATAACAATAATAATAATAGTGAAAAATGTATAGCAGTTCCCTTTTTCTGTTTTTTTTCAAATTGTTTTAATGAAAGAATCAAATAACTTTTCTTTTTTACACAACAATTAGCCAGAAAAAAAAAGACAAAAGTAGAAAGAGTAACCCATAATAGTGTGTATACGAAATAGTAGTACACTGCAAAACAACGATTACAAAGAGACTTTTGCAACACAAATGACATCAATATATAAAATTAACACCACCAAGTAGGACAACAACACCGACGACGAAAACATCGCCCTCCGTGAGAGCGAAGACGACAACTGGTGGAAAACGATGGGGAAAAAAAAACAATCCCAATCATTATTATGTGGTAGCAATAATAATAAGCTAAAAAAAAGTTGATTTTTTCTGTTCATATAAAAAAATAATTCGAAGATAAAGAACACTGTGGAATAATTCAATAAATCAATATACATGAACAAATTGTGTACACTGTACATGGGGAATCAATCACACAATCAATAGAATATTACAACTAGTAAAAAGGACAATCATCACACTTAGTAATAACATCATCAGGTTGCACGTTGAAATATGAGAGAATATGCTGCGCTGTGTGTGTATGCGTGTGTGTCTCTGTGTTGGTGCGGTACAACATAGTGACGACCAGAATACATTTGAAAACACTGACATTACTGATTGCGCTGAAGGTTTTTCTCAGTTTACACACAATTGACAATGGCAAGTCGACCGACCTACTTGCGTATGATATATATAAAGACTACAAAAGGCAGAGTATATAAGATGTCTGTATAAGAATGTAGACTATGTTGTATAATGATGAAATGACATGTGGAAAAATGCATTGGGTTTAATCAAAATTTCTATTTTTTTTTATGAAAAAAAAGCGAAATGAATAAATTACAATTTTTTTTTATGAATAATAATGAAGCCATTAGATATGAGAAGAAAGAAAAAAAGAATTCAATGATTCTCTCTGAGAAAATTTACTATTTATCAATGATGCTTAAAAAAATTGCAAATATCAGCAGTAGTACAACACTCACACTCACACACACTCACACACATGATGACGAGAGTACATGAAAATTAAATGGGAGGGAAAACAAGTACAAACATGCAATTAGTAGGTTGATTTCGGTGAAACATGAATGGATGATCAGTTCATACAACCGAATACATAGATTCTTTGTGGTGTGTACGTTTACACACATGAAAAATAATAATAATAAGAGTAATAAGTAATTAAATAATTCATTAATAATGACAATAATGATTTGTATTGATTGTAATGATATATATATATTGTTAACATGGAACAATGACTCTATATATACTAAATACAGCAGTAGTAATGGACGGGGGGTTGGTTACATGTGAAAATATGGAAAAGAGAAACTAAAGCCAAATCAATTCGAGAGGTGTTTGTGTTTTGTCTTTAATTATAGGAGATGAAACCCAAACTCACTGCATTCATTCAAGAAACATGGAGCAAGAAAGGAGAAAAAAACGAAATGAAATGAGAAGAAAGTGAGTACACAATTAGTCAACCTAATCTGTCTGAGATAACAATAGTGGTAGTGGTTGGATTGTTCAACTACTACTGATACTACAAGATTCGATGGAAAAAAGCAGTGAGATGTAGGCAAACAAACAGATGACAATACAGTACGCATATTGGATTGTATTGTACTGTATTCTGTACTAACTGTCCCTCACTCCTTGTATACACATAAATAAAATTAATAGAATAGCACTATTTGAAGTAAGAACTAAGCAAAATATACAATAATTAGGAAATGATTGAAAATCAAATTTCAAATGAAATAAATCAATATGACATCGTTGTATGTCTATCTATGTGTGTGTGTGTGTACGTAAAGGCGTGTGTTTGTATAAGGGTGTGTGTGAACATATGGAATGAATGCAATGTGGACAAGAAATTTTTACAAGCTGTATGTATTCTGTCGACTGTCAATTAGGTTGATACTGTTCTAACTGACAGTGGAAGTAGTATACAGTGTTTCTTTCGGTTTCAATATAGTCATTGAACTAGGCAGTATATTGATATTGTTGACAATATTAGGATCCTGCAAAATAATTATCAAAAAGAACAGATATAAATATTTATGATTCACAAGTATTGAATTGATAAAAAAAAATTTGTAAGAATGGAATTAAGTTTCAAAAGAAAAAAAACAGAACGAATTATGATGCACATGAAATATTCATCCTCTTCTAACTCTAACTCTTTAAAATAGCTACAAGGTACTTCAGTAATGCATGACAAAGATCATTCCCAATTAGAGTTATGGAGATTAGTGTTTTTACACATTTGAAATCATCAATCAATCATTGTTAGACCACCATTAGAAACCTGAAAGCACAAGGTGGCCGTTTCGTCCTGGTATGGGACTTATCAGAGGCAGTGCGCATCCATGACTCCTGCATCTAGCAGGATTAAATCAGAGTTAGACATTAACACCGTTAGATGCCGGCCCAGTGGTCCAATAGTTAGGTGTTCGCGCACAATACCGAAGGTCCCGGGTTCGAATCCTGCGGGATGCAGGAGTCGTGGATTCTCACTGCCACTGATGAGTCCCACACTAGGACCAAACGGCCCACCAGTGCTTGTAGGTTTTTAATGGTGGTCTAACAATGATTGATTGATGATTTCAAATGTGTAAAGGCTAGTTCATTACAGATGACAGAGAGAATAATTGAGAGGAGTGTTGAAATTAACACAAAAATGAAAAATATCATCAAATATTTGTTGAAAATATTTACTAGGAAAACGGAAACGTTCATACACTTTCGTTATAGATTATCATTGATTCATAGTGTGCTGCAAATAGCTGCATCACATTTTTTCAATAAGTAACAATAAGAGAAATTTACGCTCTACTTCGTTTTACTAAATTAAATATGAGTGAATGATTTCCACAATCCATAAACTGTACATAAGCAAAAAATTTATTAAACTTATTTTCGATCAACTAACTTTCCAGTGACTCGACTTTGTCACGAATGATATATCCAATTGAATCTGCCTAATTCTCTCAATGAGAAACAGATCAGCGATGTCATTTGGAAATCCCCACTCGATTTTCATGTTAGGATTATAAACATGAATATAATTCCGATTATCAGAATTTTTCTAGTATATAGTCCTGTAAGTTTTTGTGGATAATGTTTTCAACTACTTAAGTACAAATAAGTAGTATTATAGTTCCAACTAAAACGCAGAGATATCATCAGTTGATTTACTTGGTTCAATGACTAGTATTACAACACAAACACAATTATGAGGCCAGTGAATTTATTATACTTAAAGCTTTGTCAATAACCTGACCAATGTGTGCTCATTGTTCAAATATCATCATTCGAAATATGCTATTACACATTTAAGTTTAGTTACATTTGATCCCAATGAGTGTTTTGTTATTTTTTTTCTCTTTAAAATAGGAACGAACTTATTCTGTGAATCTTAGACTTATGCTATTATGTATCAGAGGAAAGTGTACAGTTGGCTATACAATTGAGCCAGTTATTTAGACTTTTTTTGTTAATGACACAACACCTGTTATATATGTAAAATTAACGCATTGCTACGATTGTACAACTTAAGTAAATGACAATAGCTCCCACTGAATCCTACTCCACTACAGTAATACTCTTTTTTCGACTTTGATAAATTTACATTCATCAAATCAATGTGAATTTATTACTTACTTTTTGATCAACAGTCATCATCATAATTGGATTCATTGTTCCAATGATTGTTTTCGTTGTTGACACCACTTTAGCCGATGTCGATGAAGTGGTTGTTGACACTAGATCTTCAACTGAAGTCATAAGTCGTCTACGTTTAATCTCTGTATGTGTACTACCACTACTACTACTACTACTACTAGTACTAGTCATTTCATTATTCTCTTTCGATGTATTAATCTTGTGCTCATTTTCCATAGTTTTCATAGTTGACTTGTAAGAATTTGTATAATGATTAGCAGTGTTGTCAGTTTTATGCGCATGCTGATTATGATGATGATGATGATGCAGATTACCTAGTGCACCGATACCAGAGCCTCCACCACCGGGAAAAAAATTTCGTGAACGATGTTTACGCAACCAAATTGTTGGTAAACCGGCAAGTTTTGACGCTTCAGCAAATAGACCGCCAAGTTTATTTTTACCCCAGGCATGCTCTGTGAACCAATTACTATTCGCCGGCAATAAATGACATTTTTGTACTTTATCATGTATTTCTTCAATATCATTTGCATCGGGACATTCAACATTACGCGGCTATAATGATTATTTTTAGGTTTTGGTTAGTTGTATGAAGAGAGAAAAAAATAGTGGTGTAAAGAAATGCATCATATATGTTGAAAATATTATAAAATATTCAATCATTCAAACAAAAGTAAATATAGTCAGTTAATTTGAAAGTTTAAATAACGACTTGATTTTAGTCAGACAAAAAGAAGCAATGGAAAGCACACAGTCCCAGCTGTACAATTAATCTAACATTAACTAGTAGTAACTTCGTTTCTGAATCCGTAAAACATAAACTGCCTCTATCAGTTCAACTACTCTTGTGAAACAAGACACAGACCGTATCTAGGAGCCTGACTTCAACTCGGATATGAGAACATGCCCTAGTGTGGTTGTACGAAGATAAGAAGAAAGTAGTTAGAAGTTCTGTTCACTCCACTGATCCATTGGTTGATATCAGGTTTATTTACACAACACCTCCAAATCTACAATGATTTTTTTCAGATTAAAACAGAATTAACTCTTCTCAACCACCAGATGAAACCTCTTCCTGTTAGCATTTCAACAAGTTACCTCCTTCTGTTTGCCTAAACACATCAATTTATCTGTTAATTGGATAATCTATTCAGGCGCTTATATAAAGAGTTTACGACTGATCGCTTTACAAAGTACAAAAAAAAATACCACCCGACACACAATATGATAATATGAATGGAAACCAATGGACGTTAATCAGATGTCAGTTCCTGAATTGCTAACCTCCAACTGCCGATTACTATTTGGCTCAATAGAAGATTGTCGTTCGTTTTGCAGAGCAAGTCTAGACTCAGCCAATGTCCTAGTACGAGCAAGCATTTGTCTTCAGGTTACTGGACTCGAAAAAGACAGCAAGGAAACTTCTTGGAGTACTACTCAAAAATAAAAAACCAAAGAGTTCATTTGGACAGAAACTATGGAGGTGCTACTCGGTTCCATGGAGTTTCGAGTGATATCCAAAAAGCTGTAAAAACAGCAATAATATCTACCGGTAAGTTACAGCAAAAGATAAGGAAAGATCAGTTGATTTCATTGGCATCTAGTGAACTGATAGACTCTCAGAAATTCATCCCGTCTGACTCTGAATATTATGTGGAGTGGAGACAGCTTTAAAAAAGCTAATATCAAGCCCATGCAATCATCGTGAACAGTGATGGGTGATACAAGCAACCTAACCACCAACTACCTCGACGAGCGATGCTTTCTGGTGTAGGAATAGGTTGGACGGCCAAACCAAAACATGGCACAGATCCATGAAGTCACTGACAACTGGACTGCGTCATGTTGGTAGGTGTAGGTTGAGGTTCGTAAGACAATAATAACCGATAGTTAGAGACTTTACATGACATGGCTCAAAATCGTTTGCAATGGAGCACATGCATCCATTCTTTATCCTCTCTTTCAAATTCTTATCTTCTGAATTCTTCATGACCTGTCTTCTCTTTCCAAATATATTTCACTGGGTCATACTTCGAACCCTAAACTTTTCTGTCAACACTAATACTTCTATTATCCATAATACTATGGGATTTAAACTGACAGTTCGATCTCTCTGTGTTAATGTGGTACTTAAAATGATGTACGTACATATCAAGTTCTATGTTGCAGCTGACTGATTGACTAACTGACTGACTAGAAGATGACCAAAGATGGGATATAAATTCATAAAACAAAATGGGTTAAAGATGGTACGACGCAGTTGTGAAAGACTTTCAGCGATTATCAATGCGTATTCTTAATCAATAAATGAACAGACATTTAGGGATTTTCATTTTTTCTATATTTAAATTGACCAATGTTTCATTCATCATCTGGAGGGAAGCACGGTATCAACTGGACAGTTAGGACGCAGCTAGAGGATCTGGACTTCGCAGATGACTTGGCTCTTCTATCGCACAGTCAACAACAAATGCAAGAGAAGACGACCAGTGTAGCAGCAGCCTCAGCAGCAGTAGCTCTCAACATACATAAAGGAAAAAGCAAAATTCTCCGATGCAACACAACATGCACCAACCAAATCACGCTTGATGGAGATGCTTTCGAGGACGTTAACACCTTTACATATCTGGGCAGCATCATCGACAACCATGGTGGATCGGACGCAGATGTGAGGACGCGGATTGGCAAAGCGAGGGCTGCATTTCTACAGTTGAAAAATATCTGGAACTCCAAACAACTTTCAAACAAAACCAAAATCAGGATTTTCAATACAAATGTCAAGACAGTTCTACTGTATGGAGCGGAAACATGGAGAACTACCAAAGCCATCATTCAGAAGATACAAGTATTTATTAACAGTTGTCTACGCAAAATACTTCGTATTCGTTGGCCAGACACCATAAGCAACAACGAACTGTGGGAGAGAACAAACCAGATTCCAGTGGAGGAGGAAATCAGGAAGAAGCGGTGGAAGTGGATAGGACACACACTACGAAAAGCACCTAACTGCGTCACAAGACAAGCCCTCACATGGAACCCTCAAGGCAAAAGGAAAAGAGGAAGGCCAAGGAACACACTACGCCGAGAAATAGAGAAAGATATGAGAGGAATGAACAAACACTGGACAGAACTGGAGAGGGAAGCCCAGGACAGAGTTGGTTGGAGAAAACTGGTGGGCGGCCTATGCTCGATTGGGGGTAACAGGCGTAAGTAAGTAAGTAAGTAAGCCCTGAGGTCTTTATCACAATAGTCCTTCATAATTCCTATTTATCATTATTCATACAGATAGAAATGTTTGATAGTAATAATAATAATAATAATAATAATAATAATAATAATAATAACAGGAGAAACACACATTGAACATACTTGTAAGTAAAATTTTGAATATGGATCCAAACAACCACTAGGTCGCCTATCTCTTAATTCTTTGAATATTGTTACAGGGCATGGACATCGAACAGGTGGTTCATGCATTGATTTCATATCGAATTCACTTTTCTTATAACCCAGTGCACAACAGGTTGTTGGTGATCCAGCTAAATAATAACGTTTATTAGTAACTCGATTAATAAAATAAATATATTCTGTTTGTCCATCAGCTGTTTGACAAAGACGAAAATCACCCCAACGTAGACTGACATGTTCTGTACGATTTTCCACTTCAAATACTAATGTATTAATAAACCATGCAGTGAAATTTAAACACCATGGTCTTCGACCACTTAATATACCTTTACGAAATAATTGTTCCACATAAGCAGGAAAATCGGAACATTGAAATGCGCTAGCAGAATTAATCACCTAAAAGAGATGATGATGATGATAAAGGGAATTAAATGAAAGAAAAGAGAAAATTGAACAACTTATTATATAAAACGAATAGTCTAATTTCTGATATATGACTATCTCGTCTGAGCTGCAGTCAAGTCAGTAGGGGTGTGTAGGCAGATACAATGAAGAGGCAACGACGTGTCCCCACATTTGCGAATCCTACTGGGAGACAGTCTGTGACAGCTAATTCTGTCCTAGTGTAGTGAATGAGAACACAGGTGGGGCAACCGAATTGTATTTAACGAAAATTACAGAGTTACTCAGTAAAATCGGAAAACCATATTGTAAATCGTTCATTTGCAAAAGATCAGTTCATCCTATAGAACTGGACTGTTCCTGTTGCCAAACATCAATCGATTGTCACTATTCATGCGTTTCATACAAATTCCATTGTTTTCTAACTCTTCCTTTCTTGATCTTCCCCCCATATTATGCTACCAGACATTACGTTGACACTCACGTTATATACTACTTATAAGTAGTTCGCACCACAGCACCACACTAGGACTCAATGCTATACCTACAACAGCGAGGCCATGGGGAAAGCAGAAGAAGGGCTTCCAGATATACGGCATACACTTCGCCTTATTTGAGTGACGTCAGTGCAGTAATTTTGGACATCAAACTTAAAACGGATTACTCTGCTGAGTTCAACCGTGTATATATATATATGAACAGAGGGTGAATGACAAACAGTAGTTGCTCATATGTATTGAATTGAGTATTATTAAATTAAATTGAATGATTATTTCAAGCAAAAAAGTTCAACTTTTTCATCTAACACGAAGTATATAATGGTATTCTATCAATCAGTAAGTAAGCCCAAAAACAAGAAATATTTTAACTAAAAAACTTATAATAAATATAACTTACAGATTGTAAAGTTCTCAATTGATCAGGTTTCGGTTCCACTGGAATTAAATGACATGTCATACTTGACAATGGAGGAAGTGTTAGTAATGAATTATTTCGTAGATTTTTATGATTATGATGGATATTGTGATTGTGTTGTTTCGATGTGATTGAATTCGCTGTAGTGGTCATTACAGAAGTTGTCAATAAATAACTATCATCTATTTTAATATGATAATTCGACATTAGATGACTATGATCACCATTGATAGTGGTATTTGTAACAGGTGTCGATGTAATATTAGTAGTAGTAGCAGTGGTAGTAGAAGTAACAACAGTAGTAGTCCTATCAATATTAGGATTATCAAAATGTTGATTCGATGTTTGCAATAAACAACGTGTCATATTCATTGATGAATGTTTAGACTGTTGTAGTTGCAATGGTGTGGTCGATGTGTTACCACCACCGATAGACAATAATGGCATCATCGATGAAGTTGTCAATGTTGTTGTCAATGTTAACGATGTAGATGATGTTGAAGGTATGGACAATAAAGAATAACCATTCGATTGAAGTTGACAATTGATCATATTCGGAAGATGATCAATAATATAATGATCAGCTACTGCTGCTGATGAGGATGATGATGATGATGTTGATGAGGCACAAGAAGAAGGATAAGTTGAATAGTCAGTGCCAAGTATTGTCATTGTATTCAATAGACTATTGTTACTATTATTATTATTAGTATTATTATTGTTATGTATGCTATCATTATTGACAAGAACAAAATGACCAGTGTCATTTATTAATGCAGTTTCATTATTACTGATCACTGGTCGATCAATATTGTCTGTATATAACAAACGATAAACTGTTTGAACGGAACTAGACAAATCTCTATTCTGTAAAGGGATTTCGAAATAAATATCCGGTTTATTATTAGTGTTGTTGTTATTATTTGTAATTGTAGTTTTAATCATTGGTGAAATGATTGTATTCGACATTGTAGTACTAGTAGCCGTAGTCGTAGTAGTACTAGTAGTAGTAGTAGTTAATGTAGTATTAGTAGTATTGATTGTACTAGTAGTATTAGATTGAGTGAATAAATAATTATTGTTAATTGGAAGAAAAGTAATCAACGGTTGACTATGCAGTGAATTCGATGAAGTGACAAGCTTAAAAAATAAAATAAAGTAAAATTTTTTTCTAAAAAAAGTACACACACTAAAAGGAACTTTATTCACATTGAACGCACAACTGGTTAAAGTAAGAGTCAAAAAATGAAGAAATGGAACCGATCATAACTAGAATCCAGTAGCGATTTAAACCGATGTCAAATATTTTAGTATAGAATTGTGAAGGTTGTTGAGCGTAAACGCCACTTAACGATGTGATTGTTTAACATCAATTATTCCACGACACCGTGCAACTATCATCCATTGTCTTCGATGAGTAACTGGAACACAACCGATACAAAATGGCCGTGTAGTGTTTTCAGATCTCCGATGGTGGTCGGTCTAACACTGGTTTTTTAGAAAATAATGTGTCCCATATGTAACAGACCCATTTCTAGAAGCTAATTTAAATAAATAGGCTCTAATCATCACACAATAATTAATTCATACACTGATTCACTTCATATAAAGAGAGAAGTTACTGTGTTAAAGAACATTATTATTAGGAGGCATTTATCATTAATACAACTTTTTTTGAAACCATGAATCGATCAATGTTAGACCACCATTGGAAACCCGGAAGCACTGGACGGCCGTTTCGTCCTGGTATGGGACTCCTCAGCAGTGCGCATCAACAACTCCTGCAACCCGCAGGTTTCCGAAAATGTGTAACTTAACAATCTTCACAACCCCGTAACGTAAATTACCTGTGCTCACTAGTGAGTGACTAGCTCAGTGAGGAATCTTCCCCGAGTTCTAGTGGGAAGACGTGACTAGTGAAGTTCAACCTGTTCGGATGTAGACAGTAACTACCAAAGACTGTGTATGAGGTTGCGCAACTCTGTGAATTAGATCAAGTTAGACACTAACACCGTTAAAAACCAGCTCAGTGGTCCGATGGTTAGGCGTTCTCGCACAATACCGAAGGTCCTGGGTTCGAATTCTGCGGGGTACAGGGGTCGTGGATGCGCACTGCTGAGGAGTCCCATACCAAGACGAAACGGCCGTCCAGTGCTTCCAGGTTTCCAATGGTGGTCTAACATTGATCGATTCATGGTTTCAAAAAATGTGTAACTTAACAATCTTCATAACCCGTAATGCAAATTAATATAACTGTTCAGATGATTTCAACACTTACACATACAAATATCTAAATGTTGTCAAGAATAACTATTCAAACTCTACAATTTAAACATCTGTCACAGAGAATACAAATCACACTGTTAAAAGTATTCACTAGAGATGTAAATTTTCGCCATTATGACAACAAATCCGATTGACATTCATTATAGAGTTTTATAGAGATTGCTGTTTTTCATTGAAATCATGAATCAATCAAACCTGAAATCATTGCACAGCCGTTTCGTCTTAGTACGAGACTCCTCTCCAGAGAGAAGCCGTAACCAGGAGAGTTCAACCTTGTCTAGTGTAGGCAGTAACTACTGGTGAGTTTGTGCGAAACCTTAGATTGATCGAAGTTAGACATTAACACCGTCGCATTCCCGCCAAGTGGTCTAGAGCATAAGCATCTGCACACAAGACCAAAGACCGTGGGTCCGGTTCCCGCAAGCGCCGGTAGTGGATTTGCACTGACTGAGTGAAAATCCCCATACTAGAATAAAAACGGTCATCCAGTAATTCCAGGTTTATAATGATGGTCTGTCTAACCAATGACTGATGCGTAATTTTAATTGAAAAAAAATCGATTAAATAAACTGTCGGTTTATTTTAGTCAACTTTCTCACTTATTGTAGTACTCTGTTTACACAAAATGGATCAGATGGGACTATAATCATGATGATCGATTAATGAACTGCAAATTATGAGTAGGGGTATCATAGAGAAACCCAAGTTCTAAAGAAACACATTTAACATGGATACTTTATATATACATATACATATGTATATTTATACAGTTCAATTGTAACTCACATGATCATATTGTTGTATAAGATGATGAGAATTATTTGTTGAAGGATCTAATTTTGCGTCAATTAATGTCGAGAACTGTGATTGTGTACTGCCAACACTGGAATCACCATCACCAACTACTAGCACATGCTCAGGTTTTGCAATAGTTATCAATTGTCCATTAGAAGTACATGAAATAGTTTGAACAATATTACCATTCTGTATAGGATAGTTTGATTTCATTGGACTAGGTGTAGTTGGCTCGGCTGTGAGTTTTTGATGATCTGCTATATGAAATGTTTCATAAATTTGAAGTGCAGATTGATCTTGTTCTTGATGTTGTTGTCGTAATGAATTTCGTCCATAAAATATTTGATTACAAGCTGGAAGTGTAGTACAAGTATTAGTGGTCGCAGTAGCAATAGTCACAGTTGGTATCGTTGTCAATGCTGTTGTTGTGACGGTGTTGTTAGGTGTTGAACTGGTGGCATTCACCTGCTGAGATGATGTTATCCGACTAGTATTACTACTACCACAACTGTCAATTCCATTTGTCGAATTGATTGAATTCATTAAATTGACAACTGTTCTACAAACCGGTGGTGATACATCATTATTATTTGTATTCAATACAATACTAGCTAAATTCGAATCATTTCGTTGAATAATTAACGGTTGAAGTGAATCGATAAAAGTACTTGCTCCATCCCTGTTGTTGTTGTTGCTACCAACAGCGCATAGATTAAAATCAAAATCACATGGACGATTGTCTGATTGATAAATTGTTTGTAGATTACAAGATTGTGATTGATTTTGTCGACAATGTTGAATTTGAGGTTGTAAAGTTGTATTTAATATAATTGGAGAAGAAGAAGAGAAACCAGGTGAAGTTGAGGTAGATAAGAGAATTAAATTCACCGGTATTGCATTATTGCTATTATTACTATTATGATTATTATTATTATTATTATTATTATTACTACTTGGATATGATATAAGATGACATGCCACAGGTTGATTAAATGCTCGAGATGTGGTTATAACGGGTTGGGATGCCGTAGGATTAGTTGCGCCTGTCGTTGCTGTTGTCACTGTCAACTAAGATAGATAACAATTCATATCAAAGCAAGATATTCAAAAAATTTGAAACAAAACAAAAAAAATTCACCAAGAAAATAAGATACAAGTAGAAAGACGAATATCCTGAGTCAATTGAATAAGCGATGCTGTTACCAGTAAAAGGATACTAGGTAAGGATGTCAAATCAATTAATGAAGTAATGAAACTTCATCAGTTAAGGTAGTCGCGACATGTGTTACGTATGCTCAACCACAGAAAAGCGATGTTTTGTGTTGTAGGAGTAGACTAGAAGAAAAATAGGGGCAGCCAAACCAGAACGTGGCACAAATCCATGAACTCACTTACAACTGGACTGAGCCATAATATTGGTATGTGTAGACTAGACCTGGTTGTGGTTCTCAAAACAATAGTAACCGATAATTAGAGACCTTGAATGACATCAGTCCGTTGCAACGTAGAACTCCACGTACGTATGTACATAAGTTCATGTTGCCATACCAAATTAGCATAGAGACGCAAATGTCAAATCTAATCCCATAGTGATAAAGATAGTAGAGGTATTAACGGTAATGAAGAAGACTAGGGTTCAAAAATATTATTCAAGAAGTATAATTAGGTGAAATAAGGTTAGAAAGACAAAGGTAGAGGTGCTGACGAATCCATAAGATTAGGATTTGAGAGAACTCAACGAATGGATGCACTTGCGCCATTGCAAACGATTTTGAGCCATGTCGTTCAAGGTCTCTAACCATTGGTGACTTTCGTCTCGCGGACACCAACCAGGTAGTCTACATCTACCAACATCACTCAGTCCACTAGTCAGTGACTTCATGGATTTCTGCCATGTTTTGGTCTGGCCGCCCCTAGCTTTCTTCCAATCTACTCCTACACCACAAAACACAGCTCGTCGAGGCAGTCGGTGGTTAGCCATACATAACACATGTCCCAACCACCTCAACTGATGAAGTTTCACCACTTCATCTATTGATCTGCCATCCCTACCTAGTACTCGTTTCCTAACGACAGCATTCCTTACTCGGTTGTCCATTAGCTGTGCACTGTGATAAATGAATGTGAGAAGAGTTAGTCGTGGAGATAAGAGAGCTATTACGGGGTGTAGGAAGGATTTGATTTCGACCAATTTGGTCTCGCGTGCTGTTACGGGTATGAGGGCGGTTGTCACTTCCCGGCTGCCCACACCGTGGAAGGGTATTTTTCTTGAGGGACCTGAAAAGGAAGATAGATTAGTGTTGGTCTTGGAGACCTCGGAGCGTGTCCTCAGAGCCCAAGGGACGACTGCTTGAGGTCGGTCACGCACGGCCTTTTTATGAAAGGTTTTTTGAGGATTAGCTCCGCTCTTAAAGGCCCTTGGTGGGCACCCTTACCGACGAAGACGGAAATCCGTGAGTTAGGGGAGGTGTGACATTTTTAGGGTCGAGCTTTTCTAACCCCTCCTTCCTTGTGAGAAGGCAGCATCGCTGCAGATGCTGGTTGTCCGAGGGAAACGCCTTACTGCTGTCACACCCCTCTGCAGTCAGCAGCACGACTTCACCCTCAGACCTTGAGTAGCTGCTTTTAGTCTCATCGCTCTCCAATCAACCTGCCTGGCATGGTAGAACCTACAGGAACATACGTCTCAGCTAATTTAGCTCGGTTGGGTCATCACGATAGACAGGCCCGACCGCCACGTCAAGGTAGCTGACTGACTGACTGATGACAATACAGATTAACTTTCGGTGAATAAATTGATACAAAACTATGCTGTACAGTATGATCGTTCTTATGTGTTAGAATATCATCTCATTGCCTTCAACTAAAGTTACAAAAATAAAACTTATTGAAATTTCATAAAGTAGCAGTGGCTTACATTGTGTTTTGCTATAACTTATCTTTCCGATTACTAATACTTTATAGTAGCAGCAACTGTCGCCTTGAATCAATCACACAAAAAATGTTGAACAATGAAATTATTATAAGTGCGCAATAATATTTAAAAATTCAGTAAAACAACCACTCAAAACTCACTGAATTCGATGTTTGTAAAGTTGAATTATCAAAACCTGACAAGATTAGTGTACTATGATGATGTTGTTGCAATGAATCAAGTGTTGTTTGATAAGATTGAAATTGCATAGAATCGGTTTGTTCCGATTGTCGTTGCTGTTGGTGTTGGTGTTGGTGGTGTTGTAGAGAAGACAGATTCGATGTACAAGTAGTAGTAGCAGCAGTAGAAGTAATAAATTTTGCATTGATTCCTCCTCCAGTGCAGATGGAAGTTGTTGGCATCAAAATATAATTATTCAATTGATTAGTTGTTGTTGTTGGTGGTGTTGCTGTCATTGAAGTGGATGGATAAATACTACTACTACTACTACTACTACTAGTACCAGTACCAGTACTGCTACTACAACTACCATTATTATTGTTAGGTGCTAAAAATGTATGACCATCTACTGTGGTTAATAGAACAAAACTATTTGTCATCAATTGATTAATTGGATTCACAATAAATCGATCATTTTCTTGAGTGAGAAACGTTTGTGGTTGTTGTTGCTGTTGTAGTTGTAGTTGTTGTTGTTGAATCGATGAAGTTTCATATAAGATTTGATTACGAAAATCAGCCAGTGTCGACAAAGATATTGATGAGGAGGAGGATGATTGAAGAGGTAGTGACGGTGACAGCTTACAAGAGGACAACATAGTGGATGATTGCTGTTGCTGTTGTTGTTGTGGTGGTTGAGATTTTTGTACTAAATTCGGTAATTTCAATACGAACTGATGATTCGAATTGTTCAGATCTGTTGTACGTGATGATTGTATTATGATCGAAGTGGATGAATGAGGTATAGTTGTTGTTGTTGTTGCTGGTGTTGACGGTGTTGATGTTGATGTTGTTTTAGTATTGTCTACACGTGAAAATATCATTGTATTGAGATTATTATCATTATTATTATTATTATTATCAGAAGAAGAAGCAGAAGAAGTAATCATGTTATGCTCATGATTATTGATTGGATTAATATTCATAGTGTTAATCATTGTAGGTGATGATGTAAATATCATATCATTTCTTGTATTCATTATACTAGACATATTAGTGCCTAGCAGACATGATAATTTATCAACTAATGATTGTTGACGATGATTGAAATCTGAATTGTTAGTATTATTACTGTTGTGATTATGAATATTTTGATTTGCCGCTGTAGTAGTCGTCGTAGTAGCACACGGACCACCAGTAGAACAACTAAAATTGTCATAAACATTTAATGCTAATGCAGCTCTATCCGCCGCCAGAACACATGCACTGGTAGCTGCTGACAATGCAGCTGTTGCAACACGAGACATATCTGGACGAACAACTTTATCAACAATATTACGCATTAATGCACCAATACGATTTTTGCCTAATGCACCAACACTAAACCATGCAATGGCAGCTTTCGATTGAAGAGCAGAAGCAGAATTCTAAGCAGATGATAGATGGATAGAGAGAAAAACAAAACAACGACCAATTAAAGATTATTACATCGATGATAGGCATAGAAGTGTCAGTGACAGAAGCTAACTGGAAAAAAAAAACATTTTAAATATCACTATAATACTAATACTAATAACTTCAAACGAATACTTTTTAAACTTCAGCTAAGTTTAAATCCTATCCAGTCATCTGTAGAACGGTAGGGTTCAGTGATAAGAAGTTCAATTCTTAATTCGAAAGATTAGAAACTGGTCCTACCTACTCCAATTTAGCCTAACCGGGGTGATATCAATACCCTTTCATTTATCAAGTGTTACTTGAAGATATAGACAAGCCATAAGATTGAATGAGTGAGTATTTGCTGACTAAATAAATCGATAAGAATACAGAGCTAAGGTACCAACCGGTGCAACAATGTACTAATTTCCACTAGTCAACTCTAATGTGTACACCAATTCGGTAAACAGCACTACACAAATATCTCTGCTGGAATAATTCGAACCACATTATTCAAATCCTCATGAATTATTGACAATCCAATCCTAAAGGCAATCTGCACAGAATGCACATACGTCATACTGAGTTCGAGTCTGTATTTGAACATAAACACGGAGTTGAAATACATCTAGCTGCCAAACCCCAAATAAGAAGAAACGGACGTTCTAGGATTCACTCCTACCCATTATACAATTCCATTCGTGAAAAGATGTTCTTAATTCGCCAACTTTTAAAGAAAGTCAAATAATCACTTACCAGTGATAATACTGTCATAAAAATAAATCAGTTATCAATAAAAGTTGAAACTTTCGAGTCAATTATACTGAATGTTTAGTTAGTTGCAACGTAGAACTTCGTACGTATGTACATAAGTTCATGTTGCCATACCACATTAGCACAAAGACGCAGATGTCAAACCCAAAGTAATAAAAATAATAGAGGTATTAATGGTAATGAAGAAGACTAGGGTTCAAAAATATTATTCAAGAAGTATGATTCAGTGAGAAAAGTTTAGAAAGTCAAAACTAGAGGTGTTGAAGAATCCAGAAGATCAGGATTAGGGAGAGCTCGAAGAATGGATGCACTTGCGCAATTGCAAACGATTTTGAGCCATGTCGTTCAAGGTCTCTAACCATCGATTATTATCAACTCGCGGACCCCAACCAGGTAGACTACATCTACCAACATGACTCAGTCCACTAGTCAGTGACATCATGGATTTCTGCCATGTTTTGGTCTCTACGCCCCTAGCTTTCTTCCAACCTACTCCTACAGCACAAAACATAGCTCGTCGAGGCAGTCGGTGGTTAGCCATACATAACACATGTCCCAACCACCTCAACTGATGAAGTTTCACCACTTCATCTATTGATCTGCCATCCTTACCTAGTACTCGTTTCCTAACGACAGCATTGCTTACTCGGTTGTCCCACGATATACGAGCAATGCTTCTTAAACATCTATGATCGAATACTAGCAACCTACGAACATCTACTCTTAACGGCCATGTTTCGCATCCGTATAGGAGAACAGAGAGAACTGCTGCGCAGTACACCCGTCCTTTAGTCAGCAAACGGATATCACGCCTACGCCATAAGTGACGCAGGTTGGCAAAAGCCGATCGAGCCTTCTGTATCCGTGCTGAGATTTCATCTGTCACCAGGCTATCAGCGCTGATGAGACTCCCAAGATAAGTGAACTGATCAACACGTTCGACTACTTCACTTCCTATCACTAGTTCAGGTGCCGATGCAATCCAGTCTTGAAGCAACATTTTGCATTTCCAGGGTGAGAACCGCATCCCGAACATGCTCGCATTGTTGCTTATGGTAGTCAGAAGACTCTGCATTTTGTCAGCGTCTTCACCGAATAGAACTATGTCATCGGCATATTCTAGATCAGTAAGCGAATTTCCTGGTAGAAGGTGAACAGCTGAGAAATCTGACGAGCTTAATGTTAACTCTAAGAGGACGGTCCTGAATGTAACAGAAAGTAAATTAATTAGTTTGATAGAAAAAAAAGCCTACATTTCATGACCCAGAAAAAAAATCTCAATAAATCAGTAAAAATTGACACAGGACAAAATAACACAGCATTCATACATAAAAAAAACTGACCTGTAAAGGTTGAACATAAAATGGTGCTTCAGGAAGTAACGATGCTTGTTGTCTATGCCGAGCAAATGATTTATACAAAGATACAAAATTAGGACCGGAACGAGCTGGAACAATTGGTACAGTTGGATCAATATCCAGTGGTCGAACTCTTGGACGATTACAAGCTTGTTCAGAAGCCAATGCTGCAGCAACTGCAATCTCAGCCTCACCCCAACCGGAAGATGGATAAACACGACGAACAGGTTGATCTTTTGCAGATGAATTAGACTCAAGTAGAGCGCATGCTTTAACTGTAGTAAATGCTGACGGACCGACATATTCAATTGCTTCACACAACTCTCCAGTCAGTGGATCAATAACATTTGTCACCAATCTTAAATGTCCCCAACGTAAACGTACATGATGTGTTCGGCTTCCGATACCGAAATAGTGTTGCATTAACCACCACATAGCAAAAGTTAAAATCCATGGGCCACGATCATCCAGCGCACGAGCACGCCATAGTAATTGTGTTACTAAACCAACTGGAGGACGTTGAGATGTACCAGGCAGTGGAGAATAAATTTTACCACTATCTGCTAAAACTAAAGAATTCGGTGTATGCGCTGCAGCTGCTAAGACAAGATCTAGTAATTCACGTAATTCCAATTTAACCGAACGACCAGAACCACCTCCAGTTTTGCGTAAATCAATACGTATATCATCATTTGATTGACATTGAATGGTTGTATCATCATTATGATTTGATAATAATTGAGGTTTTGTAGTCATTAGATCTGGTTGTATACAATGTGATATAATTATTTCAGGTGATGATTGTTTAATTGGTGTACTTGATGAAATCATAGTTGTAGGCATGAGATTTTCAATGCCACCAAGACGAGCTTCAATAAATATGGAATATTAAAAGATGCACAGGATGAGTTGCGAGGATAGAAAAAGTAAATTAAAAATTTGTTCTATCAAATCGATTGGGTGAAACACCATTATTAAGTGTGTTCTACAGGTGTCTAATTCAATCCATGACGTTTACCAGTGTGTATGAGTAAGTTGAGAGACGTGTCCATCAAGTCACTGACTGTCTGATTGAACCCTGCCAGTGTAAACAGACTACCTGGTTGGGCGTCTGTCTTTGTGCTGATAGTAAATTAATGATGAACGACATTGTTGTGAATCGATCGCAACAGTGTATATGTATGTATATGTATCTTAATTCCAAGAATGATTGTATGCTGTTTGGTGCGCATATTCATCCTTTCTACACGAAGCATAATTTCTGTATTTAATTTTTTCTACTACTACTACTACTACTTACCATACTGTCACTAATTATTCTATTAATCTGGTATTTGTCATGATGCTGTAGTGGTATGCTTTTACGAAGAAAACACAATTATTGTACTTAATTCTGACAATGATTGTTATATTGTACACCTCTTGTTAATCTGAACTAAAGACTATAATCTCTCGAGCGCCAAGCGTGTCTTGGCCTTTCGGCCTTCTTTTCTCGCTCGTTGTTAGCCGTTTATGTACCCTAGTCTCGTGATTATTTCGATATCACGAGGCTAGGCATTAAACATACTTCTTCCTCTGGAATTGCCTTTTTATCTGTTTCTTAAAGTGACGAGATTAACATTTTTTATCCCGCGAAGTGGTATGTTTAATAGGTACTACAACAGTGCTTTCATTTCGTCATATTTATATGTTATGACAACTTGAATCTATAGAGATATGAACAAAGTACAATGTTTCTTATGATTTTTGACTGACTAACTGACTAACATGTCCCATTACTTTTTACCAATACATGGTCATTAAGGACTATCATTAAATCGAGCATAAAAACTTAAAATGTCTGTTTCCAAGATCATCAATCAATCAATCACCCGAAGGTCCCGGGTTCGAATCCTGAGAGGAGTAGGAGTCGTGGATGCGCACTGCCACTGATGAGTCCCATACCAGGACGAAACGGCCGTCCAGAGCTTCCAGGTTTCTAATGGTGGTCTAACAATGATTGATTGATGATTTCAAATGTGTAAAAACGCAAACCTCCAAAACTCTGCCCCAAAATTTCAATTTAACCAAGGTTGATATAAGATTGTAACTAATAAATCTATCTGATAGGATCTTTTCATTGATACAGTTTACTTCTTTTTTCTGAAGTAATTTCTTGTCCGTATAGTAAATCTAAATCATTAAATTCATTAAATAGGTCTGAAACTATCCGAGATCAACACGCTAGGGCTCAGTGCAAATTGTTGAATTTCATAGTTTTTACATCATGAACTGACTTTGATTATAACAACCACTAAAAACAACAAGGAAGTACAAAACAACTGCCTGCCTCATCCTAGTATGAAACTTTTCAGTACTGTGCATTCACGGACCCTAAAAGATCAAGCTTCTGACGCCACATCGATGAGGTCTTGGATTCGTTCTAGAGTTGGGAGAGAGAGTTATGGATGTCCATTGTCGAGAATTCCCAGGAGATTCTGGCTTTCACTAATTGTCTAACTATGTTCAGTTCATAATGTAAACTACTAAAAAATATATCCGAAATCTTCTAAATGCACCATTGTTACGAGACTATCACAGACTAAAGATAATAAATCAAAAATCACACAGTTCTGTCAATTAAAACTCTATAAAAGTGACGAATGTGGAGGTATGACAAAATGAAACACACCAAAATCACAACTTACAATATAGAAAGTGTTAAAATAAAAACAAGTACTACTACTACCACTACTACTACTATTACTACTTAAAAAAGCTTGTTAAATACCATAATCAAATGAACAAAACAGCAAGATATACACATATATAAATATACGTGTGAATGTAAATTTCAATGCATTAACTTACATATATCAAACATATTCTCATCCAATGGTGGCAACGGAGCAGAAATCGATGAACAAACAATGCCTAGGTTGGGTGATAAATTCGTCGTCAATGAAGATGATGTAACCATTGATGAATCCGAAGTGCCAGTAATCAATTCCATACGATTATAATTAGTCGCTGTGGTGGTATATGCAGCTGGTACAAATATGATAGCTGGAGAGAATGAAGCATTATTTATATTCGGATTAGGTGGATGATAGGAGGATAATGGTGTAAAGAGAAGCTCCGTTGGATTGTTCAATGGCTGTGGTTGTTGTTGTAGTGAAAATTGAGAATATTGATGTAGTGGATTTTGTGAATGTATCAATTGACCATTAGTTGTTATGTCAAATAAAGTTTGTCCATTTGGTGTTTGAATAATATTGCCTGTAATAAAAATATTGACAAAATAGATTAATTATCAAAGTTTAGTTTAGATGGAACGTGACCTTTTTTAGAATAGAAAACAGCAGGTTGTTGAAGGAATGAAGTGAATGTTCATTGATCCAAGTGATTGGGGGCATGTATCATGTAATGCTTACAACCTCTGTAACTCAAACAAAGTATTATTTACTGGTAGAGTAGATTAGTCCACAATAAACAAAAAAAACCCCACTAGAAATGGTCAAACAAAAATGTGATATCAATCTATGAAAAGAACTAACGGCCTAACGGTTAGGGCGTTCGCGCACAATACCAAAGGTCCTGGGTTCGAATCCTGCGGGGTGCAGGAGTCGTGGATGCGCACTGCCTCTGATGAGTCCCATACTAGGACGAAACGGCCGTCCAGTGCTTCCAGGTTTCTAATGGTGGTCTAACAATGATTGATTCATGGTTTCAAAAAATGAAAAGATTATAATCTCATTAAATTTCAATGAAATACTTTAAATCTAAACAACATACTGGATGCATAATCGAACTAACTTCAAACTCAATACAATGCGAAAAATACATGCACTGGATTCCATTGATATAATTATTAATCAAAATCAATCTATTCAGTAAAACCAAATTGAACTTGAACAAAATATCATGTTTCATGACTTAATTACACCATTCATTTGGTTTATACATACGGATTGACAATTTGAATAGTTTGCAATCACCTCATTCACTGGAAATCAGATCAATTTGTGTCAAGAAACTTTTGGTGGGGCTTATCATCATCATCAACATCATCATCACAGTATAACCATCCTCGCATAAATGTGTATATATCAACAATTCAAAAGTAAACCGATTGACAACAATGATAATTTAGTCATGCAAGTATTTCTGTGTTCAACTTCTGAAGGGCTAATACATTTCATTCAACAGATTCACTAACACATTTGGCAATCTTTCAATCATAACAATAGAAGGATAAGAGTTCTCGACGGAAATAACAAATATATATATATATATATATATATATATATATATATTTATACAGATAAGTAGTAGTTACCTAAAGGATATGTTTGTGAAATGTCTATATTCAAATTCTCTTGACTTGATGATAATTTGACTTTGATTAATGCCTCATTATCAATGTTGTTGGTGTTGGTGTTGTTGGCGTTGACGTTATTATTATTATGATTATGATTGTTACTTGTACCAATCCCAGTTCTGGCATGATTTTCATGCAATTGTTGTTGCTGTTGTATTGAATGCAGATCGCCAATATTAGGATTATTGATTGATGAATTGGAATTATCTAAATCGAATGAATCAATTGCCACATCGTCGACATCATCATCTTCATCATCCAAAGAATGATGATGATGATGGTCACTAAAAGTTTTAATGTAAAATAAATAGAATGAAGTGAAAAAGAAAAAAACACAGTAGAGAATTTCATATAATCACAGAATATCAAAGTGATTTTTATGAAAGAGCATAAGGTTGTAAAACTAGTGTGGTGCGCGCTACTTATAAGTAGTATATGACGCGAGTGTAAACGTAATGTCTAGTGGCAGCAGAAGATGGGGGAAGATCAAGAAAGGAAGAGTGGGAACACAATGGAATTTGTATGAAACGCATGAATAGTGAGTGAAATGTCAGACAATTGATTGATGATGGATTGAAGATTTGCAAATTAACGATTTACGATATGGTTTTCCTATTTTACTGAGTGACTCTGTAATTTTCGTTAAATACAATTCGGTTGCCCTCACCTGTGTTCTCCTTCACTACACTAGCACTACTGACAGGCGTCCATCGTCGAATCCAACTTAATAAACCTGGCCCATTTAAAAACAAATTGACAATGTTCACTTATTCTGAATCAGATCAAATATAAGTCAGGACAGTTGGAGTTAGAGCGATTAGAGCATTATTTATGGTGTTGTTATTTGTCACAACAACACTCTGTGACTGGGGATGGAATCCAGATGTGTTTAATGGACAGATTTTATGCTCTCGTCTTTTTAAAAAAAACAAAAAGGTGATTTTAAGAGATTAACATTACAAATCCTCCCCTCTAACCACAGCTTTTACATTGAATTCAATAAATCGTTCTGAAAAAATATATAAAACAACGATCTGATATTTAGTTTCAATCCAAAATTGAAGCTTCCCTCAACGAATAAAAGTTTGGAGAATTAAGTGGTATCACGTATTAAATGACAGTAATAGGCGACAGTCAAGCATGTTCGTGATGCAGTTCTCACCCTCGAAATGCAAATTATGTTGCTTCAAGATTGGCTTGTATCGGCACCTGAACTAGTGATAGGCAGTGAAGTAGTCGAGGTTGTAGACCGCCTCACTTATCTCGGGAGTCTCATCAATGCTGATGGCCTGGTAACTGACGAAATCTCAGCTCGTATACAGAAGACTCGACTGGATTTTGCCGTCTCTCGTCACTCATGGAGTGGGCGAGCTATCTGTCTGCTAAACACAGGACGAATCGACTACTCAGCAAGTCGCTCAGTCCCAGTTTACGGGTGTGAAACATAGCCAGTAAGAGTAGAGGATATTCCTAGGTTACTGGTTTTCGAACATAGGTGTCTCTGGAGCATTGGTCGTATACCCTGAGACTATCGCTGTTGTTAGGAAACGGCTATTAGGTAAGGATGGAAGAGAAAGAGATGAAGTAGAGAAATTTCATCAGTTGAGATGGTTGGGACATGTATTACGAACGCCCAACCACCGACTTCCTCGAAAAGCGATGTTTTGTGGTGTAGGAGTAGGTTGGAAGAAAGCTAAGGCCGGACAAACCAAAACATGGCACAAATCCATGATGTCACTGACAACTGGACTAAGGCATGTTAGTAGGAGTAGACTACCTAGTTGGAGTCCGCGAGACTATAGTAATCGATGGTTAGAGACCTTGAACGATATGGCTCACAATCGTTTGTAATGGAGCAAGTGCATCTACCCTTTCTCTTCTCACAAATTTTAATCTTCTGAATTCCTCATCACCTGTATCTTTTTCTCTTTCTAAAGTTATCTCAATGAATTATACTTCTTGAATAACATCTTCAAACGCTAATCTTCTCCATTACCAGTAATACTTCTACTATCTCTACCACTATGGGATTTGAACTGACAATTGCGTCTCTGTGCTAATGTGTTATAGTAACCTGAACTTATGTGCTTACTTACGAATTTCTACGTTGTGATTCACTGACTGATTAACTGACAGTATTCCACAGTGAATGGATATAGTACTTACCAAGTCCTATGGTTTTAGTCAGTCAGAAACAATCTAGAACCTTGTACATAAGTACGTACATCACTTCAATTTGCCATAAAACATTAGCACAGCTAGAACGAAATATCAGTGCAAACCCCTTGGTGGTAGCTCCAGTAGAAGTATTAGCAGTAATCAAAAACATTAAGGATCGAAGATGTAATTCGAGAAGTATATCCCAGTGGAATTAATTTACAAAAAAGAAGACAGGTCAAGAAGAATTTTAAAGATAAAATTCGAGCAAAGACCAACAACAATGCATGTATCTGCAACGTTGCAAACGATTTTCATTCATGTCATCGATTGAAGGTTAAAAGGATGCTTAAAATTATTGATAAATACTATACATCTATCTACTATGCATGCATGTTTTTCAATGTCCAATCAGAAACTAAATTGAAACAGTATCGAAATGTATCACACGTTGTAATAAAAGATATACAGTTCACAACTAATTACAAAAATGTACTTAGTTACAGGTAACGTAAATTCTTAATTGTTATAACTACTAATAATGTAAGGTGTCGCAGGTGATTATTAAGCATTCATGACAAGTCATGATCATACATAAATATATCAATGACTTTCTGCCAAACTATATATTTCATTTAGACGACAATAATGTTAATCGTTTTGAAATGGTTCACAGAGTTCATTCAGTTTTATAGATTATATCATGGACTGATTTTAGTCAAACAACAACTGGAGAAACCAGGAAGTACTAGATGCACTGTTCAGTATCTGTATACGACTCCTTGGTAGTTAGCTATTCTAATGAGGACCAAGCAAAAGGATCACCAATAAGTGTTTAAAGATTCATTAGATAGAGAGTCATGAATATGCATTCCTAGAGAGTTCAATAACCAAGGATGAAACAATGATTCAAAGCTTTCCAAATTTCAAGAGTTCTCTAACTAAGATCTCTATCAGTGTTGCAAAATCTTTCTCAATGAAAGTAATCCAAATTCGAAATGATTCAATAAATTGATATGCAGAGATAGTTAAACAAACAAATGATTGAATTTATCGATTACTTTTTTTTTGATACCACACAAATAAATGTATCACACGTGTAAATTAAATTAATCAGTTCATTTGTACATAAAACATTGACCATTGTAATTTAAGTGTAGCATTATTTTCATGTGGAACAGTCTATAAACTTGTAATTAATCTATGAAGGTGTATATTAAAGAACACAGTTTAGAATCAAATATTTCTGTGTGGTAGCTAGTTATACTTACTATAAGGTGACTTAGAGGTAGTGGACAAGAAAATCAGGACAATACTTGATAGCGAGAAATAATGGTAATCTTTCGGGCACTAGTTCTTCACACCACAAGTCTACAACCTGAAACGTCAAGACTAAGCAATCCCAAGTATCGATTGACCT